CTCAATTTAATGTGCACTATTTCTGGCAGTCTGCAAAGGCCATTAGACCCTTGACTTCCTCGAGTCCATCCATCTGACCTGCAAACCTGACTCTTTATATCATTCGCTGCTATTGTTTTTAATATTGTATTTTAATTAGTTATCTGTTTAATTCTGTTTTAAGGGGATGGGAGGGTGGGACTATGGGATAATGGAATGTTTTTAACTCTTCTATTTTAAAATTGTTGTACCCCGCCCCGATTGCCGCGCAGAGAGGCGGGTTATAAATAAAAATTTATTATTATTATTATTATTATTATTATTATTATTATTATTATTATTATCTAGCATGTGGCCTTCCTCTTTCTACTTCTGTTCACCTTTCCTGACATTATTATCTTTTCTAATGAGTCCTGTCTTCTTGTGATATGGCCAAAGTATGACAGCCTCAGTTTGTTCAGCTTGGATTCCAGGGAAATTTCTGGCTTGATCCATTTGTTTGTCCCTTTGGCTGTTCACGGGATCCTCAGCACTCTTCAGCTCAAATGAATTTTTCTTTTCATCCATTTTCTTGACTGTCCAGCTCTCACATCCATACATTGTGATGGCGAATACAGTGGCTTGGTGAGGAAATCATACAGTCGGACCTCGGTATCCACTGATCCCCCCTCCACAGATTCAAATATCCATGGCTTGAAAATACTCAAATATATATATATTCCAAAAAAGCAAACCTTGATTTTAATAATAAATAATGGATAATAAACCATTATTGCCTTTTCCAGTGAGTCCTCCCTTCTCATGATGTATCCTAAGTAAGATAGCCTCAGTTTGGTCATCCTGGCCTCCAGGGAGATTTCTGGCTTGATCTTCTCTAGGACCTATTTGTTTGTCTTTTTGGATGACAGTGGAATCCTCAGCACGCTTCTCCAGCACCACATCTCAAATGAGTTGATTTTCTTTCTATCAGCTTTTTTCGCTGGCAATCTCACATCCATACATGGTGATGGGGAAGACAGTGGCTTGGACAATTTACCCTTTAGTACTCAGTTGTGTATCTTTGCATTTTACCATATCTTTGCACTTTACCATAGCTGAGTCCTAGTCTTCAATGTTGTAGTCCAGCACTCAAACCAGAATATCACACTGGTTCAGTTTCTTAAGCCTAGGGAGGGCATTTATCAAATCACTCTTCTCGTTTGTTAAAGAGAGGTATTCCCTTTAAGGTTGCTGACTGTAGTAATTTGGCCTTAATCTAATTGTTAGTTCCAACTCATGTAATTTAAACTATTGGAACTTATCTACTTTGCTAAATTGTCCCCCTCTCATTGGAGCAGTTTAGTTGAGACTAATGATTGAGTTCAGATCAGTTTTAAAACACTTTGCATCACAGCACTTTTCTGTTGTCGCAGCCCAAGAGTTACACAGATGAAATTTTACATTTTTGCAAAGAGAATGTAAACAGACTATTAGAGATCAAGGTGAACTTGGAAACTTGGCACTAGCAGTGTTTATTCTGTGGATAATACTTGCAAATAAAATATCTCAACATTTGTGAATGCAGCCAATGAACCTGGGGTAGGTTTAATAGTTAAAACCTAAAGTGGGTTGAATATTTATGCAGTTAATTGTTATTGTTTAATTATTGGTGTTTTAACACATCTTTCTTTGCTTCCCCCCCCCCCCCGACCCCATGTTTTTGACATAGCTTTTGTAAATATCTCCAGCAATATAATCCTGGATTTCTCTGTTGCCTTCTGTGAGTTCCTGTCATTTCTGCAATTCTAACAAGAAAAAAAAGTAACTGGATACTGTCAGGAAACCTGGTATCCAGACAAAGCACTTTACTACACTGTCTCATCAGAAAGAAGAGAGTATCTATTTCTAAGTGCATACACACAGTCTTAGTGGACGGTGTGCAAATATAGAACTTGATGCTGTCATTTCCTTGGTATCACAGAAGTGGATGCTCCACAGGAGTGCAAGGCCCATGGCACAACAGCTGCAGAATGGCAGAAATCATCAGCTGGGACTGTGTTTGCTTTGTGGTTTACCAGCAGCAGGTAAAACAACAACAGGGCAGGTGCTGAGTCAGTTGCTAAGGAAGCACAAAGGATGGCAGTGTGTTGTTCTTACTTATGATGATCTCATTCCTATGGAGACATTCAGCCAAACAGAGGCAAGCTTGGGACAGGAGGAACAGCAATCTTCGGTTAGTAGTTTCCTTCTACTTTTTATTGGTCAATATGTTAATGCTAGTCTCATCAGTTAGCAAAAGATCTGCACCTAACCACTGGGTTTTTTCAGTGCAAATATAGTAACATGCAGAGAATGGCAGCAGGGTTGATCTCCCACCAGTAAACTTTATGTTGTGGTATTACAGTCATTGTCATTTTATGTTTTGAGTACATTTGTCCCTCCCTGTTCGCAGGGGATCCATTCCGGACCCACCCACCCCCACGAACAGGAAATAATGCGAATATTGGGGACCCATTGAGTAAAATGACAGCACATGCCTGTCCGTGTTGCTTCAGGTGCACATACCATTTTGTTGCTTGTGGCTTCCCATTCGCAAAAAACTGAGGGACATGAATGGGAAGTCTGTGAACCACGAGGGATGCATGTACTCCCAGTTGAATTCAGGTTTAATCAGTTGTTAAACAAATACCTTAATACCTTTTCCTTTAGAATTAGCTGTGACACAAGCCTGGAGTAGACACTGTTAAAGTAGGTTAAAATGCTAATATGTTTATAAATCTAAATACTAAGGATCCAATCAGTGATCTATTGTTAATCAGATGCTATCTGGTCTTACATCATCTTAGTTTTAGCCTTCTAACTGAATACTTACTTGACTCCTTTTTTTCCTAGAAAATTAGATAGTGTTATAGCAGCTGAAATACTTGGTTTTCATTGGAAATGCAGTCTCTAGAAAAGTAGAATTAAAAAGGAAGCTACAGCCTTGAGTCTGCAGGGCCTGAGCAGGGCTGCTGATAGGGTGACTTGGAGTTCACTTATTCATAGGGTTACTATTAAGTCAAAAGTCGACTTGACAGCAGTTAACAACACAAAGAATTTAAAATCATTCACATTTTTAGTATGTAGGGAAACAATGATAGTTTTATATTTTAAAGGATGGATTATCTTTGATGTATTGGTAGTAATTCTTCTGATTCTTACTATTCCTCTGTTTTGATCTTAATGTTTGTCCATTACCACAAAGGTTTTAGTTTATTGTGTTTTAGCATGGTGCTCATTAGTTTGGGGCCCTTTGGGCAGAAAACTAAAAGATAAATAAACGAATAATAATACATTTTGCACACAAGGGTGGCATCTGCTGCTGCAGTGGTTGGGAGAAAAATATTAACCTTGTGCGGGGGGG